GCAGCAAATGCCTGCCAGTCCTCCTTGTACCAGCCCCTCACCTCCACCCTACATTACCCAGACAACCCCTGCCTCTCTCTGTCATACCTGGAATGCAGCAAATGCCTGCCAGTCCTCCTTGTACCAGCCCCACATTTCCACCCTACCTTACCCAGATAACCCCCCTAATATTTGCCAGTACCTGGAATGCAGCAAATGCCTGCCAGTCCTCCTTGTCACTCTCCAGCAGATCTTTAAAGCAGCTGTACTTGATGCCTCCTGCCTCTCTGATGTTATACTGCTGTGGGGTGTTGTTAAATGCAAACACAGCCAGAGCCATGCCTGCCTTCAGGCGGATATTCTGAAATATGCCATACCTCATGTTAGATAATTTTCACACTGAATGTTCTTTGGTTTTCAATTTTTTGCAGAGACTGAACAACTAGTGATTAAAGAGGAGATTTTGTGTCTAAAGAATTTAATGAATCGATATGACTTAGGGTCAGGGAGCACCTTTTGAGATATTCTCTTTTGATTTTAATTTTATAAACTGTCAAAAGTGGTAAGAACTGGTTTTTGCTGATCTTTAATTAAAAAAAAAAAAAAAAATAAAATATTACCATTTTCTTGGACACCAGCAAATCCAGCAGCAAGTTGAACTTGAAATCCGTCTCTGCCTTCAGCAGTTCCTGGTTCTCCGTGTTACACAGCACAATACATCCCAGCGTGTTGGCCACCTCCACCTGGATGTCTGGAGACGGAGGCTTCACCAGGAGCTTCACAAGGATACTGATGCCGTTTTCTTCTGCTATCTTCTTCTGCACCAGTTTGTTGTTTCTGTGGGCAACGCCTGGAGGGTGATATAAGCAATGTTTCAATGCCAATATTTTAAAAGTAAATGCTTTAAAATAGATAAATAAAATAAGTATCAATAAATGATAAGAGTGAACGAAAATGTCACCCATACTTCTTTTTTTTATAATTAAAAGAAAATATAGGTCTGTCTGCGTATGCCTGAGAGAGAGAGAGAGAGAGAGAGAGAGAGAGAGAGAGTGTGAATAAAAGGGAGACAGAGAGAGAGTGTGTGTGTGTGAAATAGAGAGAAAGAGAGGAAGAGAAATAGAGAGAGAGAGAGAGAAAGAAAGGGAGTAAGAAAGAGAGGAAGGGAGAAGTGAGAGAGAGAAAGACAGAGAGAGAGAGAGAGAGAGTGTCAGAGTATGTGTGTGTGTGAGAGAGAGAGAAGAAAAAGAGAGAGATCAAGGTGTTTGGAGTGGACACCTTACCCACACACAGTGTTCCCAGGGTCTCAATGACCTGTCTCAGCACCCTCTCTGTGGTGTTGTTTGACCGCAGCAATCTGACCAGGGGTGAGATGCCGCCTTCATTGGTCATCTTGCTCTGGTTGTCCATGTTTTCTCTGCTCAAGGCAATCACAGCTCGGCAACCTTATAATTTATTAACATGACTTTCACTCAAGGTGTTAAATCAAATATATCTTTTCATATTTGTCATAAGTTACAACATGAAATATTTTTTGTCATATTTTACTGCCATAAAATATTTCAGACCTTGCATGTTGCTAATGTCTAGAAAGTTATAAGGAATGACTGCAAAAAAGTCACTCGTAGTTTTTTTTATTATTTTTTTTTTTAATTCCACAACAAATAACTCATTCATAGCTTGTAATTAAATCCTTATAATAGAATGCAAAATAACTGTGGATTAACATACAATAGCCAAGACAAATGCCTAACGAAATACTCCCATCTACTGGTTTTAAATGTAGTAGGATTAACAAAAAGAAACTAATTCAAGCATCTCACATACCTACAAACTGTAACTTCTCAGACCCAGACAACAACATCTCAATGAGTTGATGAACACCTATCCTCTCTGCTATAAACTTCTGCTGTCTGTGGGTGTGCCCAGCTAACGCCCACAGTGCTGTGGCCCCCTGTTCCTTCACTGATACTGACCACACCTATGGATATTGTGATTAGAACAGTTATTTTACAGAAACTCAACGTCAATTTTCTGATTTTGTATTTACAATTTTATTGCACACACATTAAATGACAGCATTTTCTTTTCGTAAATCTCTAAAGGAACACAATTCATATATAACTTTGGCTTTCAAAGACAAAATTATTTATTTAATAAATTTATACTGACTTGAGTGCAAATTTAGCTTGATACACTCTATCCAAAACTGTTATGAAAAAAAAAATGTGCTTTTAAATTATCATTTTCACTATCACAAAAACAATTAAAGGGTTTACTATTCAAGTATATATTTATAAATTTTATTAATTATATATTCAAGAGATAGACTAACCTTAAAGAACTTGGTGAGTACTTTAGGACACTCCAGCTCCAGAAAAGCATGTTGACTGGGAGGGTTGTTCTCAGCCAACGCCTCCACTGCGGCCGCGGCCTTGACCTGCACTGTGATGTTGCCACGCCCCTTAATCAGGTTGACCAATGGCCTACAGTTCATAAAAACATGGACGGAATTTAATTATGATAAAATAAACTTACTTTCCATTTCTAGACAGGTTATTTTTACATGTTCACAGGCATTTTATATTAGATGAAGATCTAATAATAAAACAAGTAAATTTTTGAATTGAATAAGTTATAACAAAAATAAACTCATTTTCAGTTTTAGATCTGTTGCTGTTATGTATAAGATAAGGGTTATTTATTTATGATTTAATTTAAAGCACCTGACTGCGCCCTCTGCCACTACTGCATCCTGGTTCTTACGATGTCCACGGCAAAGAGCTGCAATGGCGGCTGATGCCGCAGCTTGAAGAATATCTGAAAATTTCAGTTGCACACATAGTCAAAAATTTTAGCTGAATTTTAAAAGATAATAAAATATACTGCAATATGAAACGTCAAAATGCAATAGGTGAAGTCCCTTCTTTTCCCTGTTCTCTCATATGAAACATGTATCACTCTCTCTCTCTCTCTCCCAAATGTAATCTCTCTCTCTCTCTAAAGGTTTGTAGCAACACGTTTGCAGGGGTTTGAAAAAAAATTAATTGCTGCTGATTTGCAGCCATATTGCAGCACATTTGCAAGAACGAATTGCAGTTTGCTGCAATATTTCTACAAATTTGCAGCAGGCCTGACATTTTGCTAAGAGCTATCACCTGAGTTGACAGTCAGGAACTCCACCAGTGGCTCAATGCCTCCGCACTCCGCCACACACGACTGGTTGGTGTTATTATTTGTGCACATCACACGGATCGCGTTCACTGCGTTCACCAACACATCCTCAAGCACTGAGTCCAATAAATTGACCAATGGCTGAATGCCTCCTTGGTCCGTTATGGAGTCCTGGTTGTTATCGACACACGCCAAGTCTGATAATATTATCGCAGCACGGGATTGGATGTCATCCACAGGGGAGGATAAGAGCTTGATGAGGATTGGTCCAGCTTGAGCAGTTGTGAGAGCATGCCTGATTGGTTCGTGTTCTGATATGTTGCATAATGTAGCCGCAGCAACGGCCTGGATTTCTTCGTTGTCGAGTTTGAGCAATTCCACCAGGGCAGAAACACCACCTGTAATTTTTGTAAAACATTTTAAATATCACACTTGTCTGATGCTACTATTATCAATTTTTACCAAATAATTCCCTTAATTTACATAGAACCGCTTTTAAAAATTAAGCATTTTGTCTACTATACTGTCAGTGAAAATGAAATATTCTTGTACAATTATTAGAAAAAAATCATTGCAACGAAATACATGTAGATCAAAGATGGATCACTCAATTTTAAGTTTCAAAAACTAAAAACATGCCTGGATGAAATTAAGCATCAACCATCTCAAGAAAACCTGGATATTTCCCTTATATAACTTCACAACAAATGTACCTACCTGCCTTAAGTACTGACTGCCAGTGTAAGGGATCTGAAGTAGACAGAGTTTCCATACACTTCACAGCACTGTCCTTCTTCTTGATGTCCTCGTTCTTCATCATTCCTAGAACAGAGAGAGAGTTTCAATACACTGAATACAGAACCAGTGTGAGGTTTCTTATTATCTGTGTTAAATTACTTCCTATTTCCTATGGATTTTAATTGTTAATTGGTCCTGAGATATCACTTATGCCACTCATTGCTTATGCAGGCTGAGCTGCTAACATTTTTTTTTAAATTATGTTTTTCTCTCTTTTTTAAATAAGATACAATGATTTCAGTATTGAGATATAACAATTAAACAAATGTTGCAACCACAAGTTTATTTACTGAAAATCTCCAGTACCAGTGTACCATTCTACAGTTACACTGACAACAACTGCTGAATGAAAAGATTTGAACTTTGTACTCTTTACTTTACATTTATACTTATAAATATATTATATAAATATTATATAAATATATATATATTCTTCGGAGGGGGGGGGGGGGGGGGAATTGTCCTGCTACTAGTACCCAACAACCATTACTCAGAAGGTCCTCTGTTGACTGATATACACTAATACATCACAGTTGCCATGGTAACAAGCAAACCAACCAACCAACTTACCTACGAGTAAGTCCCAGACGGGCAGTTCCTTGTTGTCCCACTTGATCAGCCACTCCAGGACGTGTGTGTGTAGTTTGAGGGTGGCCAGGTGAACCATGTTGTTCTTGTTGGAGTCACAGGCTGTGATCTTAGCTTGGAGGTTGATCAGACATATCACGCAGTCCAGCGCCCCAGCACCTGCCGCCAGCAGCAAGGGAGGGGATCTGAGACTGGAAGGTTGAAATTTTCGTTATGATGATCAATTCAAATAAAGGTACAACTGTGATGTATTATAGGGATAATAACTCTTCGTTTCGCCAAAAAATGAATTTTCCTGGAGTAAACAACAATTTTCCCATACTTACTAATGGTTAATGAATCCATTTTTACATTCAAAGTTAGTCCCTGGTTTTTTTTCTAAAAAGTTTGGTTTCTTGTTTTAACAGAGTATAGCCATCAATGGAGGTCACACGGTCTAAAGACAAGCTCAGATATCAGAATAATAGCTATAACTGCCGTTTTTGTGGTAAAACAGAATATATTATATTTCTATGAATTATTCACAATGTTTTTATTGTGAAATATAGATCTCATACGAGGAGTTATTATCCCTTTAATCATGATCCTGATTAGTAAATTTTTAATAACTATTATAAAACAGTTCTTCCAAATGCCATAGAACATTAAAATATTATTCAATATTGTATAATGTTATCATTTTTCAAATAACTTTTATAACAATAAAAAATAATTCAAAAGTACATTTGTAAATTTTAAGCATTTGCAAAAAAAAAGTTAATCAATGTGGTGATAATTGTGCTTGGCTACAATAAGTCCCCCTTTCTTAAAAATGTACATGCCAAATATAAAGACACATCCGGTTGCAACCCGATGTAAAATTTCTTTGAGAAACTTTAATTAGGCTTAATAATTATACATTATCCCTCAAACAGAACTTACTCATTTTTGGTGGGTAACTCCAGCAGAGCCGGCTGCCTCCTGATCATCAGTTGTAACACAGGGGCGTTATCAAAGAACGCGGCGTGATGCACAGGCGCCCAGCCAATGCTGTCATGGATGAGAGGGTTACTGAACGGCATACTCATCAGGCATGCCGCAGTGTCCAGGGAGCCGCAACGGGCTGCAAGATGGAGGGGAGTAGGACCTGAAAAGGGCAAGTATTCCAAAATAACTGATACAGGTATTCTAATAAAGTGACAGTTTGAATACTACAAAGTGATGTTTGTTTCTTTTTGTTTTGTTTTTTTTTTTTTTCACTTGTCAGTTTGACAGTTTTGTCCATCAATTTGCTGTAGCATGCATTAAGTATCTGGCATGAAATGGAATGAAATCTAAAGGTTGAGAACCAAAAGTACATGCCTGGATTTGATAGAATTGAACATTGGACATACTGAGAATAGACCTTTCAACATGGACCAAAAGAATAGACCAGGTTTAACAATAGTTCTATACAAGGTACATATTCCTTGATTTTTTACACCTTGCAGAAAAAAAAATCATACGATCAATTTGTATGTAAACCAGTAGCTTTTATTTATGCCAGGAGATGGTTTGACTAAAAGAAAAAAATGCCCTACAAACTTATCACTGACTCAAAATTGCACATCAAAGAAAAATGTGAAATCAATTTATTTCAATGTTACTATGTTATATAGAATTTCAATTTTGTTACAATGAACTGCAATACCTCCTTTCATCAAAAAAGAAAAATAGCATTAATTTTGTGAAACAATACCAAATAAAAACTTCACTCGGTGCAACACTCCTGTAAACAAATAAGTGCAGGGTTGATTACTTTGATTAATAAATGAAAAAAAAAAATTTGAAATTAATATATTTAAAGGCTTTGGCTGGCATGCATGTTTAATTTCTATATCTGCCATGCTAAGGTAACAGATAAGTATCATCAATACTGAATATTCTGAGCTATAGTAAATGGTTACATATATCCTAATCACAACTAAGATCAATTCACTTGGTATAACTCAATCCAATTAAAAACTTGGGATAATATTATAATAAAAAAATAATAATATCAATAATAAAATAACAGCCCATACAGGTATCAGCAAATTGGGACACTGTAAAAGAACACTGAAAAAACAGCTGTGTTAAATATTAAATATAGCACCATACATGGAAGTACGCCAATACAACCAGCATGCAAATTAATTAAGCTACTTCAATTGTTAATCATCGTCAACAAAAGTCTTCACTGGAACTATGTGTTGTTGGGTTTCAGCATGCATACACATGTTTTCGTTATACCTTCGTTGGCTCTGGAAACGCCTGGAGTTCCTTCTCCAACCTCCAGTCCTTGTGAGGAAAATAATTATTACCATGTCAGTAAACTACATTTGAACATTAATTTTAAATTCTCCTGGGCTTAATCTTGACTTAGAACATTTGCAAAATGCTTAAATATGTGAATATATGAATATCATTAAGCATTTTTCTCTTTTTTACTTGCATATAAGTTGGCAATGAATGCCTCTCATGTGTAGCCCTAATATTTCTTACTTAAAATCTGATGATTGACTATTTTCATGTGTTAAAGATTCTTAGATCATCTCTGAAACATTTCAGTCTTATGAATGATATTAAAGTTTATAAACAAGATGTGAATTCAAAGTGGAAGTGACAGTGCTCAGTGTTTATATTCATGTCAGCAAATTGTGACATTTTTGCCAAATGTTGCCTTAAGAAAATTTTTCTGTCAAACAAATGAAATGATAAGAAAGTAAAAAAAAAATGATTTCAGTTATGATAAATAAATAAATAAATAAATCTTTCATTCATGGCAAAAATATTAACTGGCTTGTGGGTAAAAATCCAACCATCATATTCTACATCAACAGTTCATTCAGTGGTCTAACAGGTCTGTGGATCAAATATTATGGCTGACCATCCTGAATGCTTGTTCTGTAACCGGAAATCTATTCGGTGTGTAATTGGGAATTAAGTGACAAGTTTTTATTAGCTGGTCATCATATTTGATCTGCGGTCTGTTAGACAGCTGTTCTGAAAGTTACTTAGTGCTCTAGGATGAATGATACATACAACACTGTGATATGGTGATGTGATCATAATATATTGTGACAGTGCATCCCAGACATGTATAACTTATAATAAATTATTCATACATATACATAAATATCGGAGTGCAATGGCAAGATATTATAAATACTTGAATCAAGCAAAATCCATCCATTTTTATATTTTTTTGATAAATAATGTTTTGTTTGTGCAATGAAGGGAAGGGGGGGGGGGTGCAGTAACAGTTGTACTGTACATTCCCATCAAGAAACCGTAACTGATATATAGAAGGTGTACACATGTATGCATGATTATGTGCATTGTTCAGAGAGGCTTGAAAAAACACAGAATTGTCAAAATAAAGCGTCACTGCTGCTAAATGTTTCAGGATGCAAAGGAAGGTCAGATCATGACAAAACTTCCCATATATAACCATACGGTTTATGTGTAACATTGTGACTTTGTCATGCACGGTACTTGTCACGAGAGCGCGCACACATGTACACATGCACATGTTCGTGCATGGGGAGTATACGACACAGAGTGCTCTGTAAACCTTGCAGCTGTTGCCATGGTAAACTGGTATTGTTATCTAAAGCCTGGAGCTGTGCCAGTGTATACCCAAGGTCTTTGAACTGGGAGCGGAATAAACTCTCGCCTCCATCTCCGACTGTGATCAGAACGTAGCAGCAAGAAAATATAGCATATAATGATATCTGTAAAGGTGTCAGGATGTGAACGTGTGTGTGTGTGTGTGTGTGTGTGTGTGTGTGAGCACATGCATGTGTGTGTAGGCATGTCCTTGTGACATTCTAAGTGTTCCCTTTTGCATGTGTACAAACAAATCTATAGCAGTATATGGCTCTATTTCCATAGATTTTAGATCGATCTATCCCCGCGGGGAGTCTCACTAGATTACTCTCAGATAATCCGACTTAAATGTCTGTCCCGCCTACTACAAGCTGTAAGGGGGTAATTAACTTTCGTGTCCGCTCGGCTGACAGCTTTTTAGCGTGAACCCCCAGGGAGTTAGGTCGATCTAAAGTAGGTCGATCTAATCTATGGAAATGGGGTGTATGTCTGCATGTGTATGACTGCTATATTAAATGATGGAATTTGCACGTGTGTGTGTGTGTGTGTGTGTGTGTGTGAGAGAGTGTGGGTGCATGCACATGTGCTGATAAAGTCACCATTGTTTGATTGCAGTTCTCTTTGTTTGAATCATCTCCTACATGTCTATGATTATATAAAATAAACCCATGAAATGCCATCTTCATCAGAAAAAAAAATCATATCATTCAAAGATTGATGACCTATGACCTTGTTGTCATATTTCATTATCTTCAAAGTGAAATTTAATGTTTTCATGCTGTTATATCCATTTTGTCATACACAATACTGCCTGTATCTGATGATTTCAACCACATGCTTTTTACTGGCACCCATGCAAAACTTAATGCTTTGTCAATGTTCACATCTACAAGTACTTCTACTAAATAAATATCTCTCTGTTAATCCATCATATAATATTTATATAATACTTTGTATAAATTGCCTTTCATGCTGCAACTAAATTTAGCACATGCTGAAGCTGTTAAAATTTTAATTCTACACAAAACATTCTGTAAAATATGTTTTAGAGAAACATTTGGAATCTATGATCTCAAAGCATATAAAAGAACAAGAAAATATTGGATAATGAAAAAAAAAAACAGCATGGATAACTTTCAGAAAAATTTTTTGAAACATTCCAAATGATCATTTTATTTTTGGCTCAGACTATGAATTTAAATTCAGTATATCTTTTAGTGTTAACATATCTTCATTCCTCCAAAAAAATTAAAACTTACAGTATAAAATTTAAAAATTTTGTGTTCTCATGTATATATTCCCCAAGTTAGAGGACATAGAACTATCCAACACTTACCTACAGAGGCGAAGTTATCGAACCTTTTCTGTGTAACATCAAGCTGCTGTATAATCATCCAGCCGAGGACATGAGGGTTATTAAACATGGCGGCGTGGTGCGCTAGATAAAATCCCTGGTCGTCAGGTTTTGACAGCCGAGGGATGGGACAACGCCGGAGAAGACCGTGGAAGGCAGCCACCAACCCTCGTCTGGCAGCCTCTCGTAAACCAACCTGGGGGGTCTGGGTAATGGAAAAGTTGAAAATTGTCATAATAACTGAAATTTTATTTTTCAAAAATTAATCTTATCAATTTTATCTTATTTAAATAAAAGTATAATTGTGTAACAGCAAATAAAAACTATATGAATTTCAAAATATCTATATTATTATAAATAGGCATGTGTTTATATTGAAAACTTTATTAATTCCAACCAACAAAAAGTTGACTCCATCTCCTAGAAAATATCTACTCATGGAAGTATGTAAACAAAGATCAAGCTCAACTATCACCAACACATATTTTATCCCCTTTTATCTGCTTTAACACCTTGACCTACTTTTTCTGTTATTCATTTATCTTATTTCTCTCTCTCACCTTACACTTCATTGCCTTTTTATAACCAAAATACTTCTTGAAGTACTCAAACACCTGGTGCTCAGACATTGGAGGACGCTTCATTTTCAAGTCACGGATTTTCTCCGACATCACGTTGACCCATTTCGGCTTCTGAGGCGGGACAGGGTGAAAGGTTTCGAAGTCCAGAGCAAAGACGTAGTACCTGTAAAAAATGATAAAAACAATGTAAAATATGTAATCTTTCTCAACATTGCTGTTCACAGTAATAGAGAGAGGGGAGGGTGTAAATTATCTTAGTCTACACACAGATGTGGTATCTGAATTAGAACTGAAAGATGATAACAATGAAAGCTTACACATATACATGTATCTTGCCCATTTGCATATCACTCACTTCATAAAAAAATGGGAGGAGAAATGTTGACAGAGAACTTATGCAACTTATGCAGTCAAATTGCATCAAATAATTATCTGAAAAGTTCTCTCGTATGAAGTAAACTGTGGTATTTTATAAGCAACATATAATTTCAATGAAGATTAAAATGTGGCCTTTTAAAAGTAACTTGAATGAAAGCACTAACGAACATTTAAAAACGTAACTTAAGATCATAGGCAAAAAAATACAATTTTATTATAAATATACCTTTTCCCATCAATCTCCTTAATGGGTATGGGATAAAAGTCTGTCACAGGAACATCTGGGTCAAGGATTTTATTATTGTGAGCAATGGCGGCATCCATGAGCGCCTGCGTCTCCTGCTGGATGGCGGATGGCAGCGGCTCTGGATTGGACGTCTCGTACGCAAACTGTACACCTAGTGATAATAATATACAGATGATGAAAAAAAAAATGAAAAAAAAAAACAAAAAAAAAAACTGTAAGATATTTAAGGTAATTAATAAAAAAAAACATGACAATTGCATTACACCAAGGACAGCACAACTAAAGTTTTAGAAAAATAGAAATTCAGTTTAAAACTTTTCAAGCAGCTATGATGAAGTGAATCCAATGTAAAATGTTAATAAAAATGAATAAAGCGTTTGTCACATAGCTTACCTCCATGAAGGTGGAAATACTGATTATGGAAACCAAAGTTCTTGCACTTGTAGTCATTAGTAAGTATAAGAGGGGGGAGTTCTCTCTCAGTCCTAACCTCATCACCTGATAGGAAAAAAACAGAAAAACAATTACCATCAATTGTCTACCTTCGCCATTTATTTTGACTGTTCTTGTACATTTCTTGTATTTTTTTTATTTATTTATTATTATTATTTTTTTTTTGTACAGATGTCATTCTCAGACTTATTTTTAATATTCTATACATTTGATTTACTCTAACAGACCTTTTACTTAACATTATGATGTATTTTTTTTGTAATTTTAATATATACATAGTTGAGGCCTACTTGTCTGAGCAACTAGAAGACTGACACATTTAAAACTGTTTATTTCTTATAGTAATTATTCGATTGATTTGATCAATATGAATTAATTTCTATCATAAAAAAGTTTTGTAAATGTTATTCAAACATGTTTACGCAAAAGTTTTTTAAGTTAGCTGACATTATGTTAGAAAGTACAAAGTTAGGAGTATCAGAAAACCATAAGTCTTGCACCCCATTTCCAGAGATTAGATCGATCTACTTTAGATCGACCTAACTCCCTGGGGGTTCACGCTAAATAGCTGTCAGCCCAGCGGACACGAAAGTTAATTACCCCCTTACAGCTTGTAGTAGGCGGGACGGACATTTAAGCCGGATTATCTGACAGTAATATAGTGAGACTCCCCGCGGGGATAGATCGATCTAAAAGCTCTGGGAATACAGTCTTGGAGAAGTAATTCCGTTACCTGTCATGTTGGGCAGTAGTCGGGTCAGGTCAGGAATCTTCATCCTTTTCCGCATTGCACACAAAAATGGCACCATGAAGCTGATAAACTTGAGCAACTTGAGCTGACGCTTAATCTCAATTTTATTCCCCAGGGACTGCTTTATCACGATCTGCTGGTTCCGCAGCCGCGATTTAAGACGCATGTAGCCATCGTGGTCCAGCACGTCTTCCGCCAACTTAATCACACTGCTGACGGACCAGTCTGCGTCGATGAGGAAAGTGCAGCGGTCCTGATAGACCTTGTTCTGATAGCCAGTCATCTGCATCAGGATATCGTCTACATGACTCATGAAGAAACGTTTATCCTCCATGACAGTGACGTTATTTTGGTCTTCCTCTGGCATGTCTTCGTAGGCCTTGGAGTAGTCGGGATCTTTAGTGATGTCCAACATGCCTGCGAAAGTAGAGACAGAAAACATGATCCAAGCATGATTAACAGTGGATGTTAAATATCCCATGCCATTTTCTTTCACATTTTGTTAATTTTCACAGCATCAAAATTAATCTTAACGGTTTAAAAATAAGAACACAATATATATGTAAAACATTGTTTCTATATTATGGCATGTAAGGCAAAACATACCATGAAACTATTCACATTATGACGTGTACGTACCAGTAGGGGCTTGTATGTTCATGAGCATGTATCAGTGCCAGTACCTGTGCACACACGCACATGCCATACTAGATACAAGAGGACAATTTGACCTATCACAATAATGTGAACATCAATATAACTATAATGGCACCACTGATTTATTTTATAGAGAAATTGTATTACTAGTTCCTTCATAAAAAAAATAAAATGAAAAAAAAAAAATAATAATAAGAGAATTATTTGCAATTGTGGACTTAAAATAAGCCAGTACTAGTACTTTAGTCTAGGTCCAAATGCTGTGTATGGCTAACAAAATTTGGACCAACTGCTAGGTAAATTGATCTTAGTTTCTACAATAATCTTAATCTTATTAAGCAGCTTACTTGCAAACCTTAAATCCTTCTTGGCTGCAAGAGGTCTTGTTGCTAGGCAACATGTAAATACAACATAATCCTAGACTAAGTTTACTTTTAATTACTGTGACAATATTAATACAAGGTTGTCCAAGTCTATGTAACCCTTAAAATCAATAATACTCACTGGTTACATGTCTGTTTCATTATCAAAAACTTGAAACAAAAATTAAGACATTGAAGTCGGTTCTTATTATTATAAATTTTAATTAAAATCATTTTCTATTTTTATTTATTCATTTTTTTGGCTTTAACTTTTCACCTACTAGTATTTATTTCTAATTCTATATAATAAACCATTTCTCAGTACCCGTAAACAACAGTGCTGCTTTAATTTTCAACTTAAAAATGTAAAACTGCTTGTCAGTGAATATGTTTCACAAAGAGATTAATTACAAAAAGGAAATATTGTGGCTTTATGTTTCATGAAAGTCATGGTCAAAGTCAAATAGTTCACGTCGCTTCATTATTAGAAGGTTCAGGGATGTCAACATGTAAAATACATCACAAAGATGCCAAGAATTAATTAACTTTCTATAAATTATTAATCTGGCAATGATTAAGATCAATCTGAATCTCAGTTAACACCATGTTCATACTAGTATGAATACAGTGCAGGGGCGGATTTAGGCCGTCTTCTGGGTCTTCCGGAAGACGGTCAGATTTTCAAGTTTACATTGACGGGTATCTAATGTTTTCTGTTGGAAGACGGTCAAAATTAGAGGATGAATCAACAAAGATTATTTGGAAGACTGTCAGTAAATAGCTCTGGATCCGCCCCTGCAGTGTATGCACAAAGTCCAGACACACATGGTCTTTTTGGACCAGACAAGTGAACTTTTTTCAAGTATATCTTGATTAATGAAACCAAACTTGCATCACAAATGACGAAAATCACACTGGGGATGACATTTCTTAATATTTTGCTTCATACAGTACTTTTTAAATGAAATTATGCATTTTGCCTAGAGTCCAGATTTAAATGCGTTGCTAAAATTATTAGTAATATATTTACTTGTTTGTTTACTAGGGCTGCTATGGATTGATGTAGAACTGAAGTAGATTCAAAATCTGGTCCAAAAATTTGAACCAATTTTCAGGATACGGTTATTTTGTAAAATGGCCCCTGGCATCTGAATGGACCATTAGCCTAAACAGTTAAATAGGTGGACTGTTGTATTATTCATATTCAATTAGGAGTTTTAAATTGATCAACAGAACAGGTGTCACTGTGCCAGTGAACCTTTCCTCATAAAAATTCATTGGTTGCCGCTTAAAATGATCTTAATAAAGAAGGAAAATGACTTGTGCAAACATTAAGATGTGATATATTCCTTATGTCAACACATAAAGTTTTGTGTAAACAAACACTGCTTTGCAACTGAAAGTTAAAACTGCATTAAGTCAAGGGACAGATTTTACCCTCGAAGATTTCTGTTAAAGCTTTGCACGAGTTTAATTCGACATGCAAACATATTTCAGGGGTTTAAGCAGCATTTACTAGTACTATAAAACACTTCAGAAGAGTCCCCTTAGGTTTAACAATATCAGTTGGGCATTAAACTGTTCAAAACTGAAGGGGTTTTCTGGTTATGCAAAAGTCACTAGTCTACATATATTTATGTTCTAGTACCTACTCTAGTAAAATTGTGCACGTGCAGCATCGTACAAAGGTTTCAAATGCCTACTTATTAGTTGTTTTTTTTTTTTTTAATTTAATACTTTTAATTTACTTTTCTAAAAATGTGACTTCCATATCAGCCAGGAAAGTTTCAAAACTAATGAACTTATGAAGTGACACATTTTTAGTTATTTAGTTTGAAAATGAAAATCCAAGAAATATAGCAATTTGCACCTTGTCACTATCAAACATGATTAAGAATATTGAGATGTCTTAAGCTGTTTTCGAGTTCTCAATTTGAAATGTTTAGTGTTCCAACAAGAATTCATCCATAAGGATCAAAATTTACAAAGAACTTACTTGAAAACCAGTTTGTAGACAAGGATCAATTACCAGTAGTTCCATGCTATTCTACTAGTATACCCTGGTGGTCAGTAAAAAAGGGTTGCCATACTAGAATAGAGTTTTCTTTACCTGCACTGGTGAACTCTGTAATAAAGGGCTTCTTCGTTTCAGGTTTCCCTTGGGAATTCACATCCAAACTTTTTCTCCACTTCTCAGAAAACTTTGTCCTTTTCTCCTTGGGGAAGTAGACTCCGTGCCATAGCGCCTTCATCATGTAGTCAATATTAATCAGCACCTGTCCAAGACGGGTGTCCACGTAAGCCTGGGGCAGCTGACACGAGGTGCTCTGGTCGAAATTTGCCTCCAGAGAAATAGACGGCAGCTGACCGAACACGTACATGCCAATGGTCATTTCACGGATAATTTGGTGAAGTTCCCGGAAATCCAGCGGGTCACAGCCCTCCATGTCATCCTCGGGGAGGAGGAACAAGCACTGGTTTTCGTTCTGGCCCAGAGGGACCATCTTCTTGACCAAACCCAGGGGCATTTCTACGCTGACCTTCAGGTCTTCACTGGACAGGAACCAGTGCGAGTGCGTGCATGCTATCAGCTCGTAGGTGTCGTAGGTGTCATATTTCTCAAAGAAACTTGCTGTGTATTTGTTGGTTTGCATCGCAGCCGCAATGGCGTCACCAGCCACCAGATCATCAAGGCTGGTCATCTTCTAAATGTAGAAATATCTACAAAATAAATAAACAAATCAATAAATAAGTTTTAAAAATTAAAATACAGGCTATTTCAAATAATGATGCTATGTCCATATATGCATGTTTAATATGTCACTATTTTATGGAGGACATTATACAATGATAAACAAGTCTGAAATATAAATAAGGCACGCAACACATTTACCTGTACTAGTACAGCTGTACTTAGTACCTGTGTGCATATAGAATGTGTATCTATCAGCAATTTGTCAAAGTGCTACTTCATGATTCAATTATAACCCTGCAGTACATAAATGCTGGGTGAGTTTATCATATTAATTGTCACATTTAAAATGCATTTATTTTCAACAACTATACATTAAATTATACCTAACTTCCCTAAGTAAATCTAAGAAGTTAGTATTGTTTATTCTAAACATCTAAAAATTACTTTTCCACAAGGACGCACCAATCACTTGCTCTGACAAATGAAAGCTAGAAATTGAAATTGAAGCGAAACGTCAAAACGGGTTCACAAAATCCATGTGCAAGAACGACATAGCCATTTTCTGCTGCAGCACTCCCCGTCTCAAACACATGCAGCAATTTAGCATGTGCTCCACTCGAAATTCTTTTACACCATCGCCAACTTACCTAATACAGCGTGGGTCAGTACAGTGGATGTGTCTGTAAGCTAAGAGTGAGCATACACTCACGCTTGGTTTGATTTAGAGCCATTTGGACCTCATTTTTTACGGAAAATTCTCAACTTGACAGCCTAGTAACCGACATTATTTACACGTTCCTTGGGCATTGACATTTACAGGTAAAATGTAAGCAGGATTATGATTGGCCAATTTTTCCTTGACTTTCGTCTGCGAATTTTTGATTGGCTCTAAACCTTTTAACTAGAGCGTTATCAAAACGAGACTGTGTCAACAATGTCAAGGTCACGTCAACAGGTGGTTGGTGTTCACACGCCGGCTCTGCTATCGTGGTAATAAATATGAGATAACAGAAAATTCAAGACCATTGAAAGCAGGAGAAGTATCTTTTAAACAAGATAACTAGAAGGTACCTACTTTTTCAGTAATCAAGAGTGACGTAATTCTCAGGCTGTCGATCCCTACACATACTGAGTATACGCCTTAGTGTAAATCAGTACAATGTAGTGGAACTTCAACTCGTGCACTCATTGCGGCCGATTTTAAACAATAGAGTCTATGTGCAACGTCTGTCGTTTCTTTTATCTCCAGTGCTGTGTAAAATGGGACATGCTGCAATAGAAACAGGTTGAAGTGAACGTTTTCTGAAGTGTGGTACATGTACGTCACAAAACAAAATGTTAAAATGGAATTTCATGATGTGAAAAAGTTTTAAATAAATAATTAACCATGTCTTGCCAATATGATCTATTTATTTATGTATTCCTTTATTTCTGAGATGAAGGCAGTGATCCTGGCCGCAGGGTATGGGACAAGACTAGAGAGAGATCTGAAAGCTGACACCTCAGGGCAGTACAGTCATCTGATAGGGGTGCCCAAACCACTGCTGCCCATCGGCCACTGTCCACTGATATCACACTGGACAAAGGTGCTGACCACACTGCCCAGCTTGGATGGTGTTTATGTTGTGGTGAGTATGGAGTTGGTGGAACTATGGTCTTTGCTAACTGTAGTACAGAGTCTCCATTTTTGACTGTCCTCCAAAAGAAAAAAAAATAGATGCCTGTCAATATTAACTGGAAAAATTCTTCTGGAAGACTCTGCCCCTGATACTCAGTACATGTTTGGTTAACTTATGAGTTCATGTGGGTTTTTACCAGGGGTAATGGGGGGGTCATTTCCTAATTGTGGTACACGTACTAGTACATGTTATACAGGATTGTACCAGAGATTTCAAAGGAGGTTTCTTTTTTGAGAATTTAATGTGAGCCTGAGTTGAACAAACTTAAAAAATGACACAGCACATCATTTATATTTTGATCAAGACATGAAAAGGACAAAGAGACAGTTGCCCTGAACCCCCAGACCCCCAGAATAAGACATCTAGCTGACAAATGGCAATTTAAAATATACATTTTTGATCATAAAAGTAAATGAAGTAGACATGTGCATACTTTAATTGTTATACAATGAAAAAATATTGTTTATAATTTTATCACACTTGTTTGAGATGTGATCATCAGCCTTAAAAGCAGCAACAAGTGAATTGTTAAAAATTAACTGTACATAATAATGATGTTTTACAATAAAAGTACAACTGTCTCTTCAGACCAATGGTGCCAACCATGAGAAGTTTGTGACGTGGGCCAAGGACTGGAACTGCGTGCAGCTGGTGTGTGATGGGAGCACGTCGAATGAGGTAAGTCATGCAGAGCATGTGCATGCATGTTGTGTACAAACACACACACACATGCATGCTAACACACACACACACACATGAACACTTACACACATGTCATTTTTGTGATATCTTCTCATACTTTTTTTGTTTAAATTTTATTTTGGAAATGTGTTTATTCCATTTTCAGACTTACCTTTTTCAACTGCCAAAAAAATAAAACAAAATATAGAAAGTCGAAAGACAACTATCAAATAGGTATATATTGAAAGATGATGTTATTTTCTCTCTTGGTATCACAAGGGCAGGACAGGAGCAGTGGGATGTTTAGAACTGTGTGTCCGACAATATAATGTCCAAGATGATCTACTAGTCATAGCAGGGTAAGTGGTGTGTCCAGTTTGTCCTTTAGTATTAAACCCCCTTTACTCTAGACAACATCCTTTCTGTGTCCTTGATGCAAGCATGAAACTGGCTGTGGTTATAGAAAGGAGGCACAGGCATCAGTTTGGTTGCAAAATGAATGCTAAGTGATCGGCCAGTTGCCGGCATGTATTTTCCTTTTTTTTACTCTCAAACAGAGCTGTGCCATGGGACACAGAGAGGACGCTGTCCAGTGTTAGTATAAAGTATAAAGTCTACTAGTGTCTTATCATTTGGCAAGAAGTACATGCAGGGGGGTTGCAAGCAGCATATAGTGTTTGAAATATAGCCTGGATAATTTTTGTGTTAAATAGAAAATTGTTATCATTTAATTTCAAAGCTTTACACATTTTTTATTTTATTTATTTATTTTATTTTATTTTTTTATTTTTTTGGCTACAGTAACTGTAACAGATAGACTGTCTAGTAACATTGAGCAGTCAATTTGGTATTTATTTTATACATTTTATTTCAACCAGTATCAGTTTTAATTAAATAAATGTAATGTTTATTTTTACAGTGACACTATGTTTTTTGATGACTTTGACTTGAGTCAGCTAGTCCAGAAATTTGAGTCATTTAAAACCAAAGACCCAGATGCCAGTATGCTGGTCTATGTGACATGCACAGATGAAGGTAAGTAAGGGAAAATAATTAGGTGTGTAATTGAAATAAACAAAATTAAAATAAATAATAAATCAAAAAGATACAAGCAGAACAGGGAGAGATTATGTTCTGATAATAATAATGATATAATTTATATTCCAGAATTAACCACTACTTGTACATGTGCCTGTATACAATATATTTATACAAGGACAAGACATAAAACTTAAATATTAGCATTTGTTAATTTATATGACTACTTTCCGTTTCCTCCTAATTTCAGAATAATTTAATGGAACATTTTATCAGCCATTCCTGTAAACAATATCTGCCATTTGCAGGGGCGGATCCAGAGATATTTTCTGACAGTCTTCCAAATTATCCTTGTTGATCCATCTCCCATTTTTGACCGTCTTCCCACAAAAAAAATGGATGCTCGTCAATGTGTACATGAAAATCTGAGAAAGACCCAGAAGATGGCCTCAATTCGCACCTGATTTGATAATCACAATGTTAAATTCAATGACATTTAAATTGCTGTTCTTTGATCCACTTATATTACAGAAGTTCACAAGTACGGGATTCTTGAACTGAATGAAGAGAAAAAGGTGGTTGGATTCCTTGAAAAACCTCAACCCGAGGAGACTTCATCTAGGAAAGAGGTAGTGCATCCTGATTTAACTCAAAAATTGACCTTTTACTTTTTATCAGTAAATCATATTAAACACTGCCACATATGATAAATTGGAACACAGTTGGTTTTCTGTCACTTTGGTAACGTTAACTCTCCAGTTCATTGATTGAGAAAACTGGTATGTCTGTGGTAATTGATGGAATTAATAGAATTGTTGTGTATTAATTTTGTTTTGCTTTGAAGAATTATGAATATATACATGTGTATGATTTTGCAATGTCCAATATATGTGATGCCTTCATCTAATTGTGTACTTAATGACACTGGAAATTATAATTATTATTATTATTATTTCATTATTTTTTTTATTGGAGTAAATGTTGTCTAATAAAGATAATTAAAAGCATACATAATTGGCTTTTTTCTTGTTTAATTTACCAGTTTCTATCCATTATTTTTAGTGCCCATGTTTTTATTTCTTGTCATCCAAGTGTCTTCCACTGCTGTCTCAGTTCTTAGAGGAGAAGAAGGTGAGTATGGTGACCTGAGGAAAATATCTGTGTGGAAAACAGAATCAGTGTGATTTCTTTAGACTCAGTTTATTTCAGTTATGTGAATGAAGAGTTTTCTTGTTCGATAGCATAAAGATTTTTCCTGATTTTAGTTTCTGTTTTATGGGTGTTGTCAGTTTTCCTAACAAAAATGTATATATGCTAGCATTATTAAAACAGCATAGATCTATAAATTAAGAAAAAAAAAACATGAAATAAATTTCAATTTATTTTAAAGAAAACCCATTGTCTAATTTAGTATAAATCATACTTAGCAATATTTAGAAGATTTTAAAAGACTAGTCTAAGAAAAGTATGTCAAAACTGAAAGTTATTTATTAAATATTGTATTTCTTTCACTCTAGGATTTGCCATTGAAGGCCAGAGATGCAACTGGAAACTTTATTGCTTATTTATACCAAAGGTAAAATATGGTGTTTTTGTGTCTTATGATGTTTTTGTGTCTTATATGCATAGTCATGTACAATTTCTACTAGGGAATTGAATCAGCAACTAGGACATTGGCTTCATTATATTTAAAAGACAATAAAAAGGAAGTGAGTGGATTTCAAAATTTAACATTTGTAGCTTAAATGTATCTGTACGGTCAATTTTGTGAATCAGCAGCATTTGCGTGCAGATATTTCAAGAAAATGGAGCACCACCAGATGTCAGCACCTGACTGGCTCCTAAAATAGCTCCACTCTTAGGGGCCATTGAGAACAGGGGACTAACTAGTCCAAGGGTCAAATACGGTGACCCACTAACAAAGCTTACTGTCTTATCTGCTAATAGAGACTGAATAGACATCCCATGGGGAAGTATTTAAGTGGGTCGGCCATATTGACCCTCAGACTAGTTAGTCCCCTATTCTGAATGGGGCCTTACAGCTGGTCTTCTATTCCAGACAGGGCTTTCCCCAGTTTTCTTGAGCCCCATTTACAGATTTTTTTGGTTTCTTTTCCAGAGCTCCAGTATATGCCACGGAGATTTCTGGGCGTTTTGATGTCGGTGGACTCCAATCCTACGTCATCTGTCATGAGCATTTCAAGAAAAAAGCTGAGACTGAATTTTTAGGATGATGCAGATTGTAGATCCACGTGTAGTGTAGTAGATAAAAAAAATAATTTGAAAGCACTCATAGATTGGGTCTTTGAGGGTCTCATAGTTGTAGCTTATGTCTCTTTATACATCACAGTACTTCAGAATAGTACTTAGAGACACATATAGGTGGCGCCTGCAGCTGAGTTCCCGGTAAATGGTGTCGCCCTCTATTGACATGCAGAATTCTCAAGAATGTCTGCTTGACTGTACAGCTTCCCGCGGAGCTGAAAATAGCTTGGATAATGGACAGCTAAGAAGAGCGATTGGGTTGGCTGGTGGATGTTGCAATATTATTTTATAGATACGAGCATTTATTTATTTTCTGTAAAAATTTAACTTGAAGACTGTAAAACTTGAGCCCAACTTCAGTGGCTGCCATGGTAAAAATAAAGATATGGCATTTTAAACCACACTGTGTGAACGTGATTGCCTTTTACTTTGGAAGAATTGCTCAATAATGGTTAAAATATTTATTGTTATTATTATTATCATTATAGTACAAAACCAATAATTTAATAGGGCGATGATCAGTATTTCATGTTTTCCATGGCCAGAAACTGCATCTATTTGAAAAGTTAATGATATAATAAAAAAAAGAAAATAATATTTTCAAACTTTTTTATTCGTCTATTTTCAAAATTAAAACCAGCTATAAACGGCTGCTAAATGCATTTAAAGATATTATTTCATGAAAAATTTACCAAATCAGAATCACATCCAGTCAACATAATTTGTCATGTCACTATTTCTACAATTTAAAAACCACAACAGCTATGAAGTAACATCCTATTATATATAAAGCACCATATAACTTTTTGTACTTATATATCAGAGGTCAAGATTGTGTGAAATGTCAATGTCAAGGTCAGATGGTCACGCCCCTACACAGACCCATCTGGGAGTACACCTGCACCATGGCCTCGGCCCCTGAACGAGCATATAAGACACCACGTCCTCGCACCCAATGTGTACTCCTGGACGCACTCCCGGAAGGAGCTGATGACGTCACAGGGGTCAACACCCTGCATGAGGTCAATGACCATGAGGTCACCACAGTGGCAGATACTGGCCTACAGTAGCTGCAGCGTGCGATGGTAGAGCTGTTGTCCGATCCTGCAAATATATAAAATAATAATAATAATATTTATTTATAGTCTAAAATCCAACATGTGTTCAGTAGACTTTACAAAAATTATTAAATTCAAATTAAAAGAAAAATATTGCTTATGGTTATAAGATGAAAAAAAGAAGGAAAATGATTATAGAAAAATATTAAAGATGAAATATTAGGATATATAAAATGGATAAAAAAGGGGAAAATTAAAACTATAACTAAGAACAGATTTTCTTAAGAAGTGTTTTTTCAAGAATTTAAAGATAATATTGTTTCAAAAGGTGGGTTTTTAGTTCCTTTTTAAAATGTCCAGGGTCCACAATTTGTCTAAGACTGATGGGTAAAATATTCCATTCTTTTGGTGCTTCAGATTTAAAAGCTTTATCACCGTATGATACTAATCTTGCCTTATAAGCCTTAAGAAGAAGGTGATCACCTGATCTGAGATTTCTTGATGGCACGTAGTGTAAAACAAGCTCATTTAAATAAGAAGGTGCAAGTTTATAAAATGCTGCATGTGCAAATGTTAAAAGTTTGAATAAAATGCATGCTCGGACAGGGAGCCAGTGCAACATCATTAAAACAGGAGTAATGTGGTTGTCTTTTGGAGTGCGGGTCAGTAGGCGAGCAGATATATTCTGCACACGCTGTAGCCGTTTGATTTGTTCCTCTGAAGATCCATAAAGAAGGGAGTTGCAGAAATCAAGTCTTGATGTAACCAGGGCATGTATAACTGTTGCTGTAGTAGAGTCGGTTAAATGTTTTCGTAAGGAACCAATGTTTNGAAGATGGAGTGAGATATCACCTGAGAATGCAACGTTCAGTGATCCCACAGGCATCTGAACCTGGACATCCATCACTGGAATGAAGTCTGTTTTGATGCAAAATCAATTTATTTCTCGTATTCCATCGATAGTCAAATGAGGGTCCACAGACATGTTGAAAAATGCCTCTTGGAAGGGTGTGTGCAGGATAATATTGCCTGAGGTGTTAGATCAGTCCGCATTTGGAGAACATTCCAAGCCCATGATATTAGTACATTGTTCCTTTTGGAACAAAACGTAACTGGGGTATATTTTAATGTAACATTCTCAACAGACAGCTCACTTCATTTGCAAGAAGTTACTTCAGGGATGCTACTGCCTTCATTGTGACAACGCACTTGCTCATAGCTCTCATCTGACAAGCGATTTGTTGCAGAAACACGGTTCTCTGAGGATGGGACAACCGTCTTTGAGTCATAATATTAATCCTACTGAGCACCTGTGGCACTAATTGGAATGTGCATTGCATAGGAGGACCAATCCCCAAATGATCTGGACCAATTCCGCCACGCTCTTTAGGATGAATAGGACAATATCCCACAAAACAGAATTGTAACCCGTGCTGAAGGCTTGTCGCGCCATCTACAGGAGATAATTGCAGTACGCGGTTGCAATCCGTCTCTTTGGCATCCTGGCAGCACAATGGCTTCCTATTATTTGCCATCTGACTACCCCTTTTAGTAC